GATGCATCTGAAAATATGTGAAGCTGAACGCTTGTGACACCGCTGGTTGCGGACGCCTTCAGACAGCGTGGGACCCTGATGCGTTCGACTTCTGACAGCTCGTTCAGCCAACTCTTCCATTGGGACAACTCGGCGCCTGTAATCTCTTCATCCCAGTCAATCTTCAGAGTCCACAGTCTCTGGATCAAGATTTTCACCTTCAACAAGAATGGCGAAAGCAGTCCCAGAGGGTCGAACACAGTGGCTGCCGTCCTGACAACTCCTCTCTTCGTGGATGGTCCGGTTGAACTCCTCACTCGGATGCTCAAGGTGTCTTCTTTCGGCGACCACACACAACCGAGTGCCTTTCCTGCTTCGCTTTCACATGAAGTCACCGTTTTCTGTGTTTCGTCGCGGTCGTCTTCGGGTACATGTTGAAGGATCTCCGGGTGACTTGACCTCCATTTCGTTAGTCGAAAGCCTGCCTTTGCCAGCAGCGAGGTAACCTTTTCCATGACTGCCAGGGCTTCCTCAGGTGACCTTTCTGAACGAAGAAAATCGTCCACATAGAAGCTCGAGAACAGGGGTGGGTCACCTTCGGTGTCCTCTGCCTCGGTATCCACCGACAGAGCTCGGCGTAGGACGTAGTTTGCAATACAGGGACTGCATCTGGCACCAAATATTACAACAAGCATCTGGTAGAGGTCAGGTTTCCTCGTGGCATCCAGGTCACGCCAGAGGAAGGACAAAGCTGGTTGATCCTCGGGTCGTACCTGAATCTGATGGAACATCTGGTAGATATCGGCTACCAGTGCGTACTGCTGTTCCCTGAATCGTAGAAGCACACCTTGTAGGTTCTGCATTAGATCCGGCCCTTTCAGCAGCTCACCGTTCAGCGACGTTCCTCTGCTCTGTGCAGCTGCATCAAAAACCACTCTCGGTTTTGGTTTGTCTGGACGGATAACAGCATGATGCGGAAGAATCCATCGCTTCCTCTTTGTCTCTTCACTTTCCGCACTTGACAACTTCCGCGCATATCCCTGTTGCACGTAGCTCTCCAGTACTGCCTGATAGGCCTCTGCGCGCTCTGGATTCTTCTTCAGACTTCTTTCCAGAGATTCCAGCCGACCATGCGCCGACCCATAGTTGTCTGGCATTCTCACTTGCTCATCTCGCCAGAGGAGCCCAACTTCGTACTTGCCGTCTTCACACCGCGTCGTCCTTTCTAGGATTCCCAGCGCCCTCTTGTCCTCCGGCGTCAGAGCCTGCTTATCTGTGCATGTCGTGCCGAAGGATTCCGTACTCCACCAGTCATTCATCATGCTCGACAGATCTTCATCTGACCGCTGGTGGGACGACTTGCTGATGAACATCACTTCGCGGTGGTGTCCTGGCACCATGCCAGCAAGCGATCCAGTCAGCGACCATCCGAAAGCTGTCCGGATGGCCACCGGTTCTCCAGGTCTGCCCACTCGTACTTCTCGCTGAAGCACAGCCTCCAACACATTAGCGCCCAAGAGAAGTTCAACTTGTCCACCCGAGAGGTCAGGAATCGTGAGTCCTTCAAGATGTTTGAGACCGCGCAGCTGCCGGCGATTCACGCTGGGTGCACGCACGTTTACTTTCTCGACTGAGAACGCTTCTGGCACGCATATCCTCTTCGAGCGATCCTGTGGTTCTCCCAGAGGAGAGAGCTCCAACTGGACTCGTCTTGACATTTTCTGTTCGCCGGCTGCTTCAACACTGTTAAGCCGGAGTGACTGAACCTCTCCAGCCACCTGTAGTTCATCGAGCAATGAGACGTTGCACAGCGAGGTCTGGGCACCTGGGTCCAGAAGCGCAAGGGTGTCCTTGAACTTCCCATCCGATCCATGTACACGCACTGGAACAACTTGGAGAAGAACAGAAGAGTGCTCTCCAGTAGCTTCTTGTCTCACGGACGCGATGGTTGCTTCGTTGGCCGACTTTCTGACTCCTCCAGCACCGTTCACCGGCAACGTGGTCGGCCTTCGCACTCTCTTGCTTCCGTGTAGTAGTCGGTTGTGGCGAAACGTGCATCCTTCGATGCCACATGTCCGTGCAGTCCTGCAGCCTCGACTTCGGTGACCAGCTCGAAGGCAGCTGAAACAAAGGCCACTTCGAGCAACAACTTCAGCCCTCTCATCTGGTGTCAGTGCCTGAAACTGCTCACATAACCAGAGCCCGTGAGTTCCTCCACAGATTACACAGACCCTCTCACCTGATTTGGAGCTGGCGGTGGTTGTTGTTACAAACAACCCGACATTCTTCTGCTGCCTGGTCGTTGATGCAGATGGAGCTGATGCTTCACATCGAAGTAGCACTCCCACCTGCGTGCGCAGCCACTCATCAAATTCAGTCAGAGTGGGCCGCTCCAACCCAAGAGTGTGCTCTGCCCATGATTTCCTGAGATCAAGGGGAAGCTTGCTGACCATCCGCCTCAGATTTTCGCACGACTGCAGGTCACCCTCAAACTTCATTGTCTTCAGAGTGGTGCATGCCCCATGAACTGCACCATGGTACTTCTCCAGCGACTTTGCATCAAAAGCCTTAGGAGGTGCGCAGGTGAAGACAGCTTTCAGAGTCGCATGCACAATGTCCACCTCTTGTCCATATCTCTCCTTGAGAGCCTTCAGCGCATCAGAGTAAGAGCTCCCGTCACATATCATGCCTCCGATGAGTGCCCTTGCTGATCCAGAGACAGAATTTTGGAGATGTGCCATCTTCTCATCATTGGTCAAGTCCTGCCTATCAACCATGGCCGAGAAGAGGGAGTGCCACCTCGGCCAATCCTCCACTGACCCACTGAAGGTCGGCAGCTTCAGCCGGGGCAAGCTGTGATAGAAGAGTTGATTTTCTGTTGCCATTTTATCTGCAGTGATTCTTCTCTTGCCCGCTTTCTGCTTGGCCTCCTGACCATTCTCCTGCTGTTCCTGCTGTTCAGCTCCAACAAAATCATCCCTTCTATCCCAAGCCAGCTCATTCTCCGCTGCTCTCGTCAATTCTGTCTTCAACTTCGCAGCATTCAAGGCATCCTGCTTTTCCTGAAGCTGTCGCTCTCGACGAAGACTCTGCTCTTCTTCTTCTCTCTGCAGGCGGATCTGCAACTGCTTGAGCTCCATTTCTCGAACCTTGTTCTCTACTTCAGCCATCCTGGTGGCATGCTGAGCTGCAGCTTTCGACGATGCAGACGAATGCGCCACTGCCGACACAGAGGGGGTTTCATCCGCTCGGCCCTTGAGATGAGCCTCAACTCTCTCAACCGCAAGTCGGTGCTCCTCTGTTGCTTCCTCTCCATACACCTCACACTTGCGTCTCTCATCTTCATCTTCCAGTGACAACCCATACTTCTCATTGACCTCCAGGAGCGCTTGAAGAGCAACGTCCAGGTCTTTGAGTACCGAGCAGAGCTCCCTCTTACTTCCCGCAGTGTCAACAAGTACAAAAGCCCTCCTCCTGGTCCTGGTTAGATTTCCCTTCCTGAGGGCACGCTCGCTCTTGAGTGACATCTTCTCCTTGAGCAGTTCACCCACAGCAAATGTCCATCAAATTTGTACTTTCAAAAGCACTTCACATCATATCAATGAATCTTTGAAACTTCAAAAACACATCTGAAAACTGTGCCCACCTCTGCCGTGCCAAAACTCTTTCAACGCACTCTTGCCTGCACAACTAAATAAAAGAAACAAAAAGGGTACATAGGAAAGACATGGTATTGCGGAACATGATTGGAATCCAGAACATGTGTGCAGCAAGTCCAAAGAGTGGTTTTCAGATGTGTTTTTGGCGCAGCGGTGGGACAAGTGGCCAGTCGGCTCACACTCGACTGGTTCCCGTCTGGTACATCAGCTGGATCACGCTCAGCTTTCACCTTTCATTTCACGCAAACAGATCAGTGCCGGCTCATTCTCGGCAACTCCCTCGTGGCAAACTGTCGCTGATACAAACAACGCATCGGGGTTCGCCGCAAACGCCTATTTTTGCGAGATTCTCGTCCGATCGCCGCAACTAAATCAAACAAGTCACAACACCGGGAAAGACAGTCATGTGTGCCATCGCCACAGTGGATGCATGTTTGGGAACATGTGCCCTCGTGCTTCTGCTCACCACACTTAAGGCACACTGCCTCAACCTGACACCTTGCCTGCATATGGCCGTACTTCCCACATTGCAGGCATATAAGTGGGTTGGGAATGTGTTGGCGAACCTGGTATACCACATAGTCAAATTCGAGTCTGGAAGGACATGTGGGCCTGTCAAATGTCAGTAGAATGATGGGGGTTTTCTCCGTGTGATTGCCCACTCTCCGAGTGAATCGACGGGCGGCAACCACCCCGAAGCTGGACAACCAACCAACGATTTCATCCTCAGGAAGGCCCATGAGATCAGGGGCATTGATCGTCCCCCGGCTCTGGTTTAGCTTTTCATCCTTCTCGATCACACACGCCTCATCTCCGAACTTACACACTTTCAATAGTTTCTCAGTTTGGGCACTGTCTTTGGTTTTAAGTAGTAATCTACCATCATTCAAAAAGTTTGCTTTGTCCACTTTGTCTTTGGATCCTAGAATCCCACGGACACACATCTGAATCCATGGCCACCCTCTTTCCTTCAGAGGCTGCCCGGACTGCAGCTTAACGGAAAGATAGCTGCCAGAATCATCATCCTCACTCCAGAAATTAACAACCGTGTCGTCCTCTCGCACTCTCTTACTGGCCCTACTTGGCCCCATCCTCCTGATCTATCCCATCGGTGACAGAGATCAAGAGAAACCTAACCAAGTCTTTTGCCGTGCAAAAAGACTCCAGGAACGACTCACCCCGATCCTCGGCTCAGAGCCAGAGCCCAAAAACAAAGGAAAAAGAAACAAACCAAACCAACTCCTGAAACTAGGCTCACGGATTCGAATCTTCTCGAACGTCCAAGTTCGCCAGATACGCCTTCACCCTGCCACGTGTCTCGCAAGAATGCGTGTTTTACGAACCTTCATGGCCCTGTTTCAGTTTGCTGTCTTGGGACGCCGTAACTACACGTCTTGAGCCATGCAGAACGAAGCGGGAGAGTTTGTGGACATGTATGTCCCGAGGAAGTGGTGAGTGCCTTTTTTATATTTCAATTTTATCACACCTGTTGGCTGAAGTTTAAGAATCTGCATGACGCTGACTGGAGACACCAATTGACCTCCACTTCTGTTTCACCCCGCCTGTACCATATGAGCAGTAACACTGTCACTCACAAACTCGACTGGAGCAGACACTACATGTCTGTGAAGTGTGACCTCTCAAAATTTTCCTGGATCATGTAAGGATGAGTGGTGTCATGCAGGTTTCATGGTACTCTATTTCTGAATTTGACAACTGATGCCCAAATTAATGCTGAATGTGAGTTTTGGCACTTGAATAGATTTCATTGATCAGCTGCCTTCTGGACATTTGTTTCATGGAATGGTGCAGGCAGGTATCATTGCTTTGTTGTGAATAATTGCCTAACATGGCAATTTGGCTTTTGTTTTTGTGGAAACTGATAGATCAGAGGCTGGTAATGGCAGATGGTGTAGTGTGCTGTAACAAGCTTTGTAGTTCTTCTACTCTCTCTTGCAGCAGTCCTGGCTTTCTCAATCCCATTTGTACCTTCAAGTTTGTTTTTTGCACTCGTTTTGTATCCTGAACATATCAAATATGGTTCTGTTGCTGGGTAATGGTATATCTAAGATGGAACTTAGTTGGAACATGAATGGTATGTCAGTCATACTTAAACCACTTTTGCCTGTACCATCTTGGTCAAGTATCAAGATCGCCTTGGTCCATGCAGGAGTTGGAGATAAGGATATAAGCAGGAGTTGAACAGCCCTGTGTCATCTTTTGGTCACTGTTTGTGTTTGGGCAGTCAGGTACACCAGGAAGTGTCAATGAGAGGTTTACTCTTGCCTGAAGCATGGCTATTTCACTCAAATAGTGGTGTGTTCTGTGTAGCCTGGCCCAAGTGAAAAAAGCTGATATTTTGTTCATTGTCATAGCAATTTATTGTATGATTTCACTTAATATTTTATACATATCATAAGCCTGCTGAGGTGGTTGCTATCAATAATGCTATGGCCATGATAGATGGTTTGCTAAGTGTTAATTGAAAATTGTGGTTGTTTCTTTAAAATTAAATATTTATTAATGGCCATTCAATGTGTACCCTGTTGCACTGTTTCAATTCACTTAAAAGAGGCTGCTGTTTCCAAATCCAATTAGTATTCAATCGCATCTCCATTAAGTAAATGCCTTTTCTAACAGATTTAATTTTAGTCTGCAATTTGTGTGCTAAACCAATGCACCATCATTGCACCTGCCAGTCTGCATCCTCTGACCGCACCCCGCTGACCCTTGTCGTTTTCGTCACAGCTCGGCCAGCAACCGGCTGATCGCCGCCAAGGACCACGCCTCCATCCAGATGAACATCGCGCTGGTGGACCCGACCACGGGCCGCTACACGGGCGAGAGCAAGACTTACGCCATCTGCGGCTACATCCGCCGCATGGGAGAGTCCGACGACTGCCTCACCCGGCTCGCCAAAAAGGACGACATCATCGCAAAGTGAGTACCGCACCTCCGCACCGCCCTTGCTGGCGAGTGGTGATCGTCTTCTGCGGGATGTTTTTAGGGGTTGTATTACCACTTGCTCAGGCGAACGTTACTAGGAAATGCGGAATAAGGAAATGTGATTAACTTTCTGAGAACATGGATGAAAGAAAAGGTGGGTCTGAGCAGGGCTGCGGAGTCGGTCGGAGTCGACAGTTGTGACCGGAGTCGGAGTCGGAGTCGATATTGGAAACCCCAGCAGGAGTCGCAGTCGGAGTCACCGAAAATCTGTCGACTCCGCAGCCCTGCCAGGTGTGCGGAGTCGGAGTCGGGAGTTAGAGTCGATCGGAGTCGACATTTCTGCCCGGAGTCGGAGTCGGAGTTGGTTTTTGAAAGCCGGAGTCGGAGTCGCCGTAAATCCATCGACTCCGTAGCCCTGGGTCTGAGGGTTATGGGAGAAATTTCTAGCTCATGACGGCTTGGCATGTAGTGTAATCAGGGTAATAAATGATTGTGGCGGTCCCAGCGCGAATTTTTCAGGTTTTGATTCCATTGTTTGTTCTCTATCCCGCGAACGGAGCAATGTTTCGACATCGTTCTTTTCAAATGATTGTCTTGCCCGTACTATTGCTTTTCGGTAAACTGATGTTGATTGGGGTGATGGGCCCCAAGCTAATTATCGAACTTGAATTAATTTCGAATGTTGTCCACTTTCTGGGTTATAACTACCACTTGATCTGCTCTTGGTCTCGTGGCTTTAAGGCCCAGATACAACAAGTCTGAGTTATAACTACCTCTTGGCCTTCATGACCTGGGGGCTTTAAGGCTCAGATACAAAACGCTAGCCGTCCCGTTTCCCTGGCCCAGGGCAAGTGCCATACGATTGCTGACCATTCCCCCCCCCCCCCCTTGTGTTGCAGGAACTACTAAGGTCAGTGTCGGCCGGACCCGAGAAACATTCGGCGCCCGGTTTGTGCCCTTGAACGGGCTGCGGAAACGGCGTCTGCTCGTGGTCGATGCGCATGTTATGAAATAGGGATGGTAGAGCAGTGATCGCGAGTCCCGTCCCACTATTGTCGTAATTAGAAGATTCTCAAGGATTTCGAGTATCATATAACCTTGTAGGAAATGTGGCTTCATACAATCATTTTACCTGCGTGCGCACATATTCTGACATACAACTTCCTTGTTTCAGGACAAAGCCGATGCATCACAAATAAACAAAAAATACCATTGCATTGTTTGTGGATGGCGAGTGTTATGCGGATTCGAGTGTCGGCCGAAACAGAGTGCACATAATGAGATAATATGGGGACGTTGTAGTGTACCTGACGTCATTGAGACACGAAACCAACGCTGACTGGTAGAAACAAGCTCGAAAACTAAAGGCCAATCATTCAACTAAACGTCTTGCCTCATTACCCACGGCCAGAAACGTCATCTATTGGCTGTCAGACAAGTAAACACAAGATTCACGGTTAAATCGCCTTCATTGTCGCAAATCATACAATAATCCACCCCACATCACAGCCCTCCGCTCAGAATGCGTCACGCGGCGCCCGAGCCCTCCGCCCGCTCGCCGTCTGCCGCCGACTCTGTCCGGTGCTGGTCGTACAGCCGGCGAAGAAACGACAGAAGCTCGGGGATGTTGGTGCCCATCTTGGCCGATATCGGGAGCACAGGCAGTGCCACGGCTGCCCGCAGCTCCGCCAGGTTAGCCTGGTGGCGGGAAGGGGCGGCAGGGTCAGTTTGATGAGTGACGAGGCAGAGGGTAACAACTAACGAGGTACAATACATACAGAAGCCTATCTTTCGATCGGCCACACATTGTAAATAGCTAACGTCGTACAAAGCAGCTGGATTGTTATGGTGAGACTTGCAGCCTTCAATTTACTGGAAACTGGACACCCACCGTTTCGTTAGTAGGTGGCGCCACCACACACAACCGGACGAACCGGCGGACCAAGCGCCTTTCGCTGCGCACAACGTTCCTCACCTCTGCGCCGGGCAGGTCACACTTGTTGGCGACCAGCGCGTGCGGCCGGTCGGCCAGGCCCAGCTGGAACATGTTCAGCTCGTGGCGGAGCACGTGCAGCTGCTGGGCCGGCTGCGCCGACACGTCCAGCACGTAGAGGAGGCACGTGCAGCGCTGCACGTGGCGCAGGAAGGACACGCCCAGGCCGCGGTTACGGTGGGCGTCCGGTATCAGACCGGGAATGTCGGCCACTGCGGGAAGAAGGGGTCAGTCAGGGGATGTCGGCCACTGCCGGGGGAGAGGGGAGCTGAACGAGTCAGGCCGAAAAGTAGCTACTCATTGTTGGATGGCTGGCAGATACAGGTGAACGGAACATCAGAAGTTTCGTGAATTTGTGCCGGGAACCGAGACAAGATGTCGAGCTGCTTTCAGAGAATAACGCTAAAGCCCGCAACACAATCAACTAGCCGATTAATCAATACGTACGACTGAAAAATCAAATCAATAGAAAGCGTCACAAAACGCATCAACAAAACGTTTTACGTTGACGAGAATGAGGAAAAACAAGGCATGTCCCCGCATCGCCGGTAGGTCACCAAGACGTATAGCAATGAGAGAAGTCTCGCTTGCCGGCTGAGCAGCACAGTCCCATCTTCCAGTTTTATATAGTCCCGGCCATGTCCAGTCTTACCTGCCAGCTGTGTGTAGTCGCTATACTGCACCATGCCCACGTGTGGCTGCAGCGTGGTGAACGGGTAGGCGGCCACCTTCGGTCGCGCGCGAGACACCGCCCGCAACAGCGTGGACTTGCCGGCGTTCGGGAACCCGATCTGATCCGTGGACGGCGGGAGGGGTGGGGCATGGTCAAACATGGCCTCGCCGAGCAACGCGAAAATAACGGATTGGGGACATATGCGGGGGCACGTCCAGTTCTCAATTCATGGACAGCGTGCGTACAGTTACATCTAACGAGAAAAACTGCGATAGTGAACGAAAGACAATCGCTACTCAGCACTATGATTAAGCCAACGCGTTCCATAAGTTACGAGTTAACAGCGATTACAGCGCATGGACTTTGAAAATCGTTTTGACATGACGCCCGTCCTGCTAGTCTGACAATGACTCCACCACCAGCAGCAGACATGCTGGTCTGCCGGATGAGAGCTGCAGTGCCAGCGACGTACCAGTCCAACATCGGCCATGGTCCGCAGCTCCACCGTGTAGGTGAAACTCTCGCCGGCGGCTCCCCTCTCTGCGACGCGCGGCGTCTGGTTCCTGAGGACCACACCCGAGAAGTGTTATCAGAATCAGATACACACTAATAACTGATCCAGCATGAACTGACCCTGGGTGTAACACAGAACATCACTTGCCATGATACAACAATGCAAAACACTGATACGAACACACGGTAGTCCTCTCCAAGACCAACGACGGGTGATCGATCACGCCTCCCATTCCACCGGTTCCGCCCCACTCACGTATCGGTGGCGAAGTACTTGTTGCCCCTGCCGCCGGCGCCGCCGCGCGCGGCCACAAACATGGCACCATCCGTGTCCAGGCTGGCGCGCAGGCCGCCCTCCTCGGTTTGGAACATGGTGCCGACCGGCACGCTGACGGTCAGGTGAGCGGCCGTGGCACCGTGACAGTCGCGTCCCGAGCCGGCCACGCCGTCCTCAGCGCGCAGCGACGAGCCCAGGTGGCCCAGACTCTTGACGTTGGTGGTGGCCTGCCGGATAGAGTTGGGGGTGTCAGGAGTGCGGGCCATAAAAGACCGACGGAGTTACATGATTGTGATGACACATTCAGTGGGTAGGTGCCATATCGCGTATGTTAAACAAAGCGTCATGGACCAACTGACATTCGATATCAATTCCTTGATTCTCGCACATAAAAGCACAACGTTGGCTACTCGACTCCATGATATCGCGAAGTTTTCAATCAGCGCAATACCGGGTACCGACGTTCTCCTTTCCAGCCGCACCGTGCCCGCACGGCGCACACCACCAGTGCCGAATCTGACCTGGAAGATGACGTGACCTCCGGCTCCCCCGTCCCCTCCGTTGGGTCCGGCTCGCGGGTTACGGTACACGCGGGCCAGTGAGACGGCGCCGTCGCCACCGGAGCCAGCCGTCACGCGGATCCGGCGCCAGTCGATAAACGGACGCGGCTGAGAGAGCAGAGGGGAGGGGTTAGAGTTGGTGGGAGGGTGTCAGAAATTTGATAGGTATGGTGACGGGTGGTCGTGTGCTGGGGTTAACGCCTACACCAATCAGAAATGTATTCATCCGGCAGTGCAAGAATACAACATTCAAAAGCTAAGGTTTTTTTTCATTGCAACAATTTTCAAGGCAATAACATTTGCTGGATGGTACACCATAAGCAGAACAATAAATTCAACTGAAATGAGATATAACTGCAACTCTACTCTGATTACACACATTCAGTTTCACAGCTACACACATTCAAATGACAGTGAGTAAAATAAGGATGGGATTCAAAGGAGAGGAGAAAGTTGTGGGTAGTAAGGGGTATAGGGGTGCACTCCTCTTTCCACAAATGATTCTCTTAAGGCCACAGATCTGAGATTGCCAGGTCCCAATATCACACAGCTCACCTGTGACCGCCTGCTGGAGGTGGGTTTGCTGCTCCTCAGTGGCAGTGGTCTCTGCTCTGGCTCAGGGCCCTCAGAGCTGGACAGAGACCTGACCAAGTACTTCAGAGATGTGGGACCTTCTGACCTCCTCAACCACCTCAATACACACCAGTTTGCTGTAGTCAACATCTTCAGATGTCTTGTGGTGTTAGGTTTTTACTGTAGAGTGTAGCACTTGCTACTTTGTCCTTTCATGCAAATCACTTCTGAAAAGTGAGACAGTGCCAATCCAGTGGTCAGCAATTATTCAACCCTAACACCAGATATTTGGCACTAGTAAGCATTAGGCATCTGAGGTGCAGTGCAACATGTACCTTTATCCAGAGCCTGCCAACATTGCTGATATGTTGATAAAAACTGACATGAATACGTAAGATAGAAACAGATTTGAATTGAGATCACATAAGCTTCCAACAACTCAGTAACATAAAAACATCATATAGAACCAACATAGCGGAATACGAAGCTCTTCTAAAATTATTGCTGTTTTGAAAATGTGATTGAATTTTGATAAAATGGTGCACATAACAAGACCATCACACGTTGGCATGGAAACTAAGCTGGAGCAGCGTGTGAGCGCAACATTTCAAGGATATGTTGGCAACATATCCTTGAAAAGAATTTGGGATGTTACTTCTTTTTGTCTTAAGTCAATTCAAAATGTTGTAATTTACCATCGAATCAACAGCGAAAAAAAAAATATCCAGCACCACACCGCCTCGACTCCTCTCAAGCCCTTGCCCTAGGAGTTCAGCGTGTTCTAAGCACTATTGTTCTAAGTTGCAATGTTTGTAACCGTCGCGCCACTATCGCAATCATCGAGATAAAAAGCTTGTGCTTCCATATCCACAATTCCCTTCATACCCACAAACGCTATAAGTAAAGTAATCTTGCAAACACGTTCCGCGTTCCCTTCCAAGCATTACTTCTGCGGTAACTGGCGGGATACACTTGACTCGCTGCTGATTGATGCATAAAATTAAATGCAAGCAATAGTACCTAAAATATTGATTTGCTTTATTATCGACACCCTTTCTGACATGTAAACAATCCTTGAGTATTGCTTTTCCCCAACAAGCGGCTATCCGTTGCGGTGGTCCCTCGATGCCCATTTGACTACCGATCAGTGAGCTGTGCTGATCGTAATCCGCGACTCGTCCAACCCCTTCCCGCTCGCTGACACTAGTAGTATATGCAGCGGACCTTGTGATAGGGCACAGCGTTCGTCTCCTTCACGTGCTGCCGCCGGTACCCCCAGAGGAAGTTATCCACTCCGATACTGTTGAGGAAGGTGGGCGAGACGGGCTGGCCGGATTCGGCGGCCATCTGCCGGGCGGCGGCCACAATCCGCTCCACGGCGGCGATACTACAGCCCCGGATCTCGACCTCCATCGGGTGGCCGGAGGCGAACACGTGCTCTGCCTGCAGGAGCGCCATCAGCTCCGGGGAGTAGCGCAGCGCGCCCAAGTAGGCCAGCGCCTGCGGGATTCTGGCGGCAGAGAGGGGCGGGCTGTGGTTGATACATATTCCAGGCACTCAGTATACCCTGCTCCGGGCAGCCACCGGAACAGTAGAAGCTCCACACAGTGGATGCTTTGTGTTGCTGGAACCTATAGCGATTTACTTGTTGAAACAAAAGCTACAACGTTCTGCAATTTGTCGTTCATTTATTTACTTTTCCGTTTAATTTCTTCTTTATCGTTCATAAGTTGCGCTATGCGCATGCTTGAACCGCAATAGCGCTCGAATACGAGGCTAGCTGCCTCCCCATGCTGGAGCAGTGTCACTGTGCCTTCCTAAGGCCATCTATAGTGCTTACCTGTAGTCGGCGAACATGGTCAGCGTGTCGATATCGTCGAACTGGCCGAGCCCCCGGCCGTCGAAGCAGAGCCACAGATCGGCAATCAGAATCTGCGCTCGCTTGTAGAGCGACACTGGCCGTGAGCAGGAATACATTACTCGTCATTGACTGCATAACCGAACCGATCAGCTGGGAAGTAACCAATTAATTAAAGCAGCCCGAATCATGCTGCTGTCGTGAAAGCAAAATCTGCTACAAACAACAGCGCCTAGGAGAAGTGACTAACATCACTCTGACAATCAGGTTCAACAAATCGAACGTAACGCATTGCGCGTCCAGCAACGACACAGCGGTCAGCCGAGTGATGGCTGCTGCTATGATGAGGTGGTCGGGCTGTCACCTTTGCATCGGTATGGTATGGCATGACCATATGGCTGCTTCTAACCTATACCCCGGGCCGCCGTGACCCGTTCGTCTCCCTCACCTCTTTGTCCCTTGAACTCTGCCTCGTCCCGGTACGAGGCGAACTCGTCTGTGACCAGCCGGAGCAGCCGCTGCGCCGAGCCGCCGCACGCCTTCACACAGTTGACGAAACTGCCGCCGTACTTTTCCAGCAACACCTGCAGGCGACCGGGGCGAGCGGCGAGGGTCAACAGAGCATCGACCCGAATGGCCAAGATGCCAGTCCATCAATTTCGAGAAACTAAGGAAAAGAAAGCAGACTGAGTTGAAACGTCAGGAAAACAAATCGTACTCGGCCACCCATGATTATGAAGGAATGTTAGCGACTACCGCTAAAAAATAGGGGTACATTTTTTCATGAAGCACAACAATTTCAGCAACAAATACCACCACAACGATATTTGGCTCGCTACGATATCTCATTCATCGCGAAACTAATTCATCGGTGACAGCTGAGGCGAGCCACAGCGATCTTCGTAAAAACGTATCTCAGAATCGCTACCCGGACTTGCTGATGCCGCGGCGCGTCCCACGTGCCCTGCCAGCGTCGGTGACGGCGCGGTGTCGCTCCTCCAGTAGCGGGATCTCGGCCTCCGTGTCAGAGCGGAGCAGGTGACGGACACCGTCCAGGTCCAGCCGGCCGTACCAGGCCGGGTCGGTCGCCGGCTTACCCTCCTGCCATGGAGCAGGGCTATTGTTAATGGGAGTACGCAGAGGTTTAGACATCACAGTAGTGTTTCTGTCCATGCCATCGTCCGTAGTAACGTAATCTTGACCATTATCAAACAGCAGATGATACATGTAATACAATAACATCGAATTTAACGTAGTCATGGGGTTTTCACGTCTTTTACAAATAATGATTAGCACTCCACCATCTTAAAGGAAATAGTTCACTTTTTAACATGGGTTTTGAACTGGAATAGCAGTTCCGTAGCTTGGGCTGAGACGAGCATAAATCAGGTGCTTTTACATCCCAACGATCACCCTAGGCAAAGATATTCTATTTCTCGTCCCGAAAAAGGTGTCGCTCTCGTCCACTCGCTCCGCGGTCACCGACCTCCAGCGCCCGGTTGACAGCGGCGCAGACGGAGAAGTAGCCGTCGTACATGATGCCTCCGTGGCGCACCCGGTACTTGACGGCACCCTCGGACGTCCAGAAGTTGAAGTTGAGCGTGGTCACGAGGAACACCCAGTCGACGGCGGCAGCGTCGGCGACCTGCGGGTGCAGCGGCGAGCCGCGGTAGCCGTCCCCGACCAGACCGCCGGCCGACTCGGCCGCGCGAGCCGCGTCCAGGGCCTGTTGGAATGTTGAAACGAAGGGTAAAGGGGATGTCAGGTGGGTGTAGAGCACATGTCGTAACTTTCAGAGAAAGAGGAATTACAGCGGTGCTCTTTATCAGATATTTATCAAGAAAAATGAACATATTGAAAGGAAAACACATTTACCTTAAGCAAAATATGTTGCAAAACCATCCATTATAGCCCCTGAGAGAATAGGCCATATGTTTCCTGTGGCAGCCTGCTGATCCTTGAACATATAACTAAGTACACAATAATGTTATTATACCATGTAAGCTGCAGTGCTAAAAACAAATCTAGAAATATTTTTCAACTGAATCACTAAACAAATTTGTCTCAGTCATTTAGAATGCCCATGGAACATTCAATGGCAAAAAATCCCTTGCATCTGCACTTACCATTTTGGCAACTGCTTTGATACCTTCTTCAACTATTGAAACATGGTCTGCATGCTCTGCTATATATTCACCACTTTGCCTTGGGCTTAGAGTTGTTATAGACTTTGAAGACATGGTTATGCTTCCTTCTGAAAAGAAAGAACCAATCAGTGCCTAATAATAGAATGGGAAATAAAATAATGTGGTCAATAGATGATAACTTTGACTTGTATTGAACTTGTGCATAGCTGAAAATAATGTACGTTGCCACTGATTTGGTGTGCCTGCCTCCTCACTCCTCATCCTGAGTCCTGTAGCACCTTGCATGGGCATGGGATATGGTCGGTCAACCTGGTTGCAGATGGGCTTGTACAAATAAACTGGAGGCTGGATGCAGGCTGTCAGTCATAAACAGTTAGGAACATAAACATCCAATGTGCAAACATATTACATTTTTACAAAAGGCAATGACAATGAACTAGTTTGAATGTGCAAGCACACATGGTACTCAATTGTGGCACTTGATTTGTTAAATGAAATATATATTCGGTACAGAAACAACACAACTCTTGCAGTGCAAAAACGAGATCCCATTTTCGTGATTTGTTGCAATTCGGTTTCAATTTCAATTTGACTTTTAGCCACACCACAGAACCAGTAGTCTGTAGTTTCAATGCACGCCACTGAATACAATTGTTGCGTGAAAGAATTGAACAAAGTTGAGCGCCTGCAACCACAGTCTCATTTGTCATTTGGACAATAAAAGCCAACAGTTTCTAGCCAGGCTCTGCAGAGGGCTGTTCGGCTGCGCAGCAAAAATGAAATATGCTGCAGCACGCATGCGCAGTGGGGACTTCGTCGCCCGTTAGTCCCGCCCACACCACTGCGTCACCGCCTGTGTGACGTCACCTACTGAAGCATACTTCGTTTTCCTGCAGCACGAAATTCGGTGCTGCAGGAGGCGAAAGTGGCGCGGATTAAAGTTTACCGTCCGATATTTCTTATTGTAAGCGGTTTGTATGCTGTTTTTTGGGTATCATTATCACTCTTTTCGGTGGCACATTGCTATTAACCACATTTGAACGCAATTTAAACGTTATGTGAGCGACAATCACCAGTCAACCCGCGCAACGGTTCGCCGCGTTTGAAATATGCTGCAGCGACGCTCGGCCGCGGCGTGCCGGCGGAGAGTGGGCGGAGCCAGGCGGTTGACGTCACCCAAGTATGACGCACGCAGCACAGATCTATGCTGCAGGGACCCGAACAGCCCTCAGCACGTGCCCCAGCATGGAAGAGCGGCGCGGGAGATTTGAGATTGTTTATTTTGGCTAACGTCACACCCGCGCCAGAAAGGGACGAGAACAAAGCTACCATATCCACCTAGACTTAGGAAATTCTTGTAGAGTGTAGACCCCATGAAGGCAGAAGTTCCGTTTCGTGTTGATCGGACCAAGGTTCTTACTCCGACGACTCGGGTCTCGAATTTTACCACAGTGCTGCGTTGCTGTTGCTCACGTCCACTCCACATCACATCACGTACTACTTGCCTCGTACGCACTACATGCATACTATCGGTTTTTCATTCGCTAGTTGCAAGCCGATCGAGAGTCCAACCGGACGCGTTCGACGATGTCATGTCTCTCGCCTCTCGGACGGCGAAGATTCTACGCCGTCCGGCCAATCCTGTTCATTGTTCATAGTCAGCGGGGGCTCGGCGGCGGTTATGGAACGTGATTGGCCCGTCGACGTAGAATCTTCGTCGTCCGAGAGACATCGAACGCGGGGCAATTCCAAGAACTCACATCAAGCGAACAGTACGCATCACATCAACCCGTCGAAAACTCTGAAACCAGTAGGACGGCTTCTATTTATATCGGACAAAATTTAGATAGTGTAGCTTTTGCGAAACATCACCGAGAAAGCAGGCTTCACAGTAGTCCGAATTTTGCAAATATCTTGTTTTACGTCTGTGAAGGACAGAATCTGTTCAGATAAGTCTAAAACCATCATTAATTCTTTGCTGTTCCTGCACACACACAAGTGGCAAGACAAACACATCAGCAGAGCATACGTCGAGCGCAGTTTGTATTAGCACCCACGGTGTAATGAGAAGCCGTAACTCTCCACGGCAGCACACAATAATGACAAGATGGCTCAAAACCTTTCATGCATGGAAGTGGCTAGTTTTACGACACCACCACCTAATAGCGATTGGTGAGGCGTCTCAAACGTCACAAAAATGCACGTCTTGCTCCACCGAAACACTCCAGTGACACACGGTCCATTGTCCACGCCTTCTGATGAGATGACGCCGCGGATCCAGCTGGGATTTCCCCCTGCGGAGGCGCCGAAAGCACCGGGCGCTGACAATATCAGTTCCTGCACGCCCAGTGCGGGCTGCCTCAATAGACCGACCACGCCTCCGTCCGCCCGGGTAGGTACCCAGCCGCTCACACTGACCCCACAGAGTCCTTACCACCCTCAGGGCCGCAGCGGCGGCAGGCCCAGCTTGGCTCGCAGCGCATTCGCCTCATCGATTTCCCTACGCTCGTCCTGACCGCGGTGTCGGCCCGAGCGGCGCTCCTCGCGGCCGGCACGGCGCTCTTCACGGTCCGCGCGCCGCTCCTCTCGCTCGGCGCGCCGGTCCGACTTGTGTTCGCGGTGCTCGCGCCTCTCGCGGTGTTCTCGGTGTTCCCGGTGCTCGCGATGTTCGCGGTGCGGTACCTCGTAGTCTCCGCGGTGGCGTTTGTCTGGAGGCGCGCCCCAGTCGCCGCGGTTCTCTCGGTACTCTCGGGATCGGTCGCCGCGGAACTCTCCACGATAGTCGCCGTAGTGGTCGCCGCGGTAGTCTCCTCTGTGTTCGCGGTGCTCTCCCCGGTGCTCCCGGTGTTCACGCCGGTGCTCCCCGCGGTGTTCCCGGTGGTCGTCGCGGTGTTCCCGCTTCCTGAGAACGCAGATGTCAGCAATCAGGGTGGTTATTTCCACCGATTGCACTCAGGGGATTGATGCAGTGGCAAGCATAGCACTAATATGACAGCATGACATCCTAATGGGAGACAAATTCTATATTACCCAAAGGGAGAAAATATGGATGACTGACGAAGCTCTCTCCTTACACAATAACTTCACGCTAGTTCCAAATAAAATCAGAGCGACGAATCAGCCCAGAATCGACACTTTGAACTTCACCAGGTCACCCAGACCTACGGCAATACAATCCACAGCGTTCCCCGTTGGCCTGGTGTGCCCGACTCCCTCCCCTCCCGGCTCCGTATTCCTTCCTCCCGGGTCCTTGCCCCTTCCTTTCCGGGTCCCGGCCCTTCACCTCTCACGTCTGTGCACCTCCCCTTCCGGGTCCGTGTCCCTCCTTCCTTGTTTACTGTCCTTCCCCTCCCGGGTCCCTTTCCTTCACTTCCGGGTCCCTTTCCTTCCCTTTCCCGCCCTCTCCTCCCGGCCCCGAGTCCCGGATCCGTAAACCTCCCCCCGATTCCCTGACCGTTCCCTCCCGAGTCCCGAGGCCCGGCCTGGGTTCCTGCCCTCCCCTCCCCGATCCGTATCCAGCAGCGCCACTCACTTCCAGGGGTCGCGGGCGCGCTCTCTGCTGCGGCTGCGACTGCGCCGGTGGTGGCGGCCGGAGAGGGCACCTGGCGGCGGCGGCAGCGGCGGCGGACTGGGCCGCGCCGGTGGCGGACTGGACGGCAGCGGCGGCGGCTCGTCATCGCCAGACGACTCGGCCAGCTCGTCGAGGTCGTCATCGAGCGCCGACACCCGCGGCTCCAGCTGACCGTTCTCCTCGTGCACCTGGCAGGGGGACGGGGAGCGGTCAGTGGGAAGACTGAGACTGCCGGAGATAATTACCGATTAGGTCAACATGGTACCTGCCAACACCGTGGAGATGGACAAGAGGAAAGGTGGCAGGACGAATGGAGCAGCAGGAGCACTCAATTACTGTCTTCGCTGGGTGCATGAAACTATGAATCAAGACGTCACACATGTAGGTATCATTCTACTCTCGCTGGATGCGTGTCAACACGACGTTGCATCATTGATGACACTCACCTGTCTTCGCTGGATGCGTGGCAATATGACATCACACATGCGCTCCTCCCGCAGCAGTTGGTCGATGAACTCGTCCATATAGGTTAACTCGTACACTGCGAACAAATGAACGTCTGTGAGTACGTACACAAAATGATAAACAAAGGCGTTTTTCCTATTAACCTATCACTAAATGTACGTTCAGTAATTATGTATATTTGATGGAATATAAGAATCGCTAATAAACTGGCGTCAAATATATGACGTGAAACTTGAAAGATTAGCATTAGCACAACCCTTGCAATAAATTGCATTCTAAATAAATCGGAAACAATGATAACCATTAAACAAAGGTGGAGCGGCACCCGGCGAATTGCTGCCGTTTTCCCATAAAACCCGATCAACAAACTATGACGACAATAAGCCAAATGAATGCCGTCAGTGATGCGTCGAACATTACCGGAGGTTCGTATTTCACACGCCGACGGCCGTGGCCACCGGGCCGAGGCCAGTCGGCCGCCAGCTGCATCGCCCCGGTCCGGTCCCGTCCGGTCCTGTTCGCTCAGTACTCAGTACTCACCTCCCTGGCGGTTCTGAGAGCGCAGCTTGCGGTAGTCGTTGAGCAGCGGCTCCAGATATTTGTAGCAGTCGAGTGAGTTCCCAGTCAGCCGCATGTAGTAGGCGCCCAGGGCACGCACGTACCTAGAGAACAGAGTACACATGGGGTGAGAGGGATGGAGGGAGAGAGGAATGTAGTAGATGCTGGGGCGTAAATGTTAGCCTGTCCCATAGCTCAGCTGCTGGAAGAACATCAGACATCACAAAATCAAACCTGTGGACTCTCAGTCTTACCACCAGGAGTCCAACCCTATACCTAACAACTGAGGAGCAGGAAGGACCACTGGACAATACAATTTAGATACTCCAGAAGGAGTAAGAAGTCAATTTGTCAGTCAGGACAGGGCCAGGAAGCAAGACACATGGGAGGGGAGAGACCAGCTCCTACCTCATGCAGCAGAAAGCTTTTAAACCTGATGCCAATGGTCCATTTGTGAATGTCCACACAATATTATAAGACTGGTAATGTAAACAAGGCCTAACCTTCCAATGAATAAATCATGCAAAATTTGTCAAACTTTTCATGACAGGTAAGTGGTGATGAAAGAAGCCTCTGTCATCATGTCAGAATACAACATGCATCAAATATCTTACTTGAAGTCTTCATTCTTGATGAATTCTACAATGATGTCTTTCTCTGGCTGGATCTGCAGCATCTTCAGCACCAGACAGAGGAATGGTGTGGGCTTGATGTTGCCTCCAAAAACACCTCCAACATACTTCAGCTGCATGGCCTTGTCCACCACAAGCTCAGCTGAAAAGATCAGTGAATAAATGGAAAGGTCACATTGATGTCAGAGCATGAGTTAAAGGGTAACAGCAGTGGATGTTTCATGGACTAAACGTGAAGAAAAAAATTAGCATTACTTCATTCAACATCTCCACAGATGTTGAATGAACATTCAACATCTGTGCATATACATCGAAGTGCATAAACTGAACAATCAACTGAGCTACTACCAAGCTACAATAACACCACACTTCCAATGGAAGCGCACCACTCTGGGCCCACCGGAATAGCGCTCTTTATCTTTCACCATGAGGGAAAGGCCTTATGTGGGAGGCCATCTGCAGTGACACTTTCTCAGCAACATTGTCATTAACTCTGCCCTGGTACCAGCCATGGCAGCACCATCTGCTGCATGGAGGAGTGTGGGGGTACCCGACATGCCTCCCTACCCAAGTTTTGCACCGCTTTTGATTGAGACGACCAACATTAACGGGTCTGGTCCACTTTTTGCCTTGCACAGAACATGCTGCAATAAATAATGGCTTGGCAGCCTGATTGTTATCACCTATGGTATGTACATAATCACAAATCTGAGATGCATGGGTCAGGACAGCTATTATAATTAAAACTGAAACTGGCAACGATGACTGGCATCTTGATTTTTATGACAAAATTCATAAGCGTTAACTATGACTCACCTGTGAGCGCAAAACATTCTTCTTTCCAGTATCGGCTGTCATATATTCTTGAACGAATAATTTTCTCCACTAAATATTGTGGATTCGTTCCTTTCACCGAAGTCGCGTCTTTTACAGTGCGGTTAGCCATATTCGCTACTTGTAACTTGTCTTACGCATCAATATCAAGCAACAAACACTTTTCTATTGAATATCACGCGAAAATACCACAAGCTGCAGAGAAAAAGTAAATTAACATGCAACACATCAACAACACATCCGACGCCGGCGCTCAACGTTTGCATTTCAAGGATTGGGTTTTAGATACAAGGAAAAGTGGAAAGCCCCAAGAGTGCTTCCATATCATATGACGTCATTGATTGTAAGATATATGACTGGTAAATATTACATTGTGGTCCTAAATAAGTCCCTTTGCCCATAAAAGTCCGTAAAAAGATCAGAAAAACTCGTCCCTAGAACTTCATCGCTTTATTTGGGATTGCGAAAGTGTGGCGACAGTCTTTCGTATAGCCTATACATGGGCCCCATGTAGGTGGTTGCGTGACGTCCATAAATATAAAGATATAGGTATATTGCCCGAAGGGAAGGGGAGTTGACCCCATATGATATAATAGTTTTATATGTACCTAGTCCTAGAGCAGAACCAGCAGAACTATATGCACATAATACTTCTAAAAGCGTCCTCAAAGTGCCGCTGGCGTTCTTGGCGCATAATTGAATTGATTTCCATCTTCACCACCCCTTTCAACCCATAAATCCATGCTGCTGGCAGGCATTCATCTTGATTCTTGCTAGATGTTTCGTTTCGTCCGAAACAATCAGTCATGGGTAGAATGTGGTTCTCATGATGCACCTGCAACGGTAGAAACAGTAAGATCTCATGAAAAAAACGTACAAGAGCAAGAAATAAACCACAAATACAAGGAAATACCGAGTTAGACAGCTATAACAGAAAAGATCCATGCTTAGTGCTTACTCAGAGACTTCAGGTGAATGTGTGCGCTGCCGTTTCGGACTGGCTGATTTGCGCGGTCTCCTCCTCTTCACAGTGTTCACAGCCAGGCGGATGTATCTCGTCCCAGCTGGCCGCTCGCGACTGAAGTCTCTAGGCTGTTGTGTGGTCCTGCGCCGCGGAGAGCCCTGTCCACACTGCCCGATCACCTGTGCTGCCGCCCGAAGGCGCTTGGGACTGATCGACGCTGACGGACCAGACGCAGCGTCACTGGAACCCTTTGACGTCTCCGCTGTGTCATGCACATCTAGCTCTTCGTCGGACCCGCCAGCAGCCTCGTCCTTCACGGGCAGATCGAAAGAATCCCCGGAGATGGCCGATTTAGCAGGAGACTCGTCGGAGGAGAAGTCAGCCTTCATCGGAGAGTCCTGGAGGTCGTCAGACGTCTCCAGCGGCTCCTCATTTGGCTCCGACTTAATTTGAGAACTTTTCAGCTCCTCAGACTCCGCGGAGGAATCCTCCGAGGCGTCGTCTTTCTCTGAGCACTCCACAGCATCGTTGAACTCCTCGACAGAGTTTGCGCCGGGCTCCGTTTTCACCTCAGCGACGGCTGGCAGCTCTAGTGGATCCGCTTGGCTCATGAGTGATCCGTCAGCCTCCTGTACGCACTGACAGCCGCAGGGGCACGGTCCGCTGACGGGCCTCTGTCTCGGTCTGCGGGGGGAGCGGCCCTGAAGTCGGCAGGTAGTCACAGTGGTCACGCTCGACAGGGGGCTCAGGTAGTGCGGCATGGCGGAGCACCGTCTAATGGCAGCACAGCAGCATAGCGGAGCCGTCTAACAACGCTATGAGCAACACAATGCAACGCATACAAATTTGCTGAAAGATAGACTGCTGATTTATAGCGCTATTTTAAAACATATTGCAGATACATTTGATTATAGAATCTTTACCTACACCACACCCTTTTCAAGAAAACGACTCAACCTGAGAATAATCGATTTTTCCCGCGACGAAGAACTCGCCTCGAGCATATGCTGGCCGGGATCCACGTTAAACAACATCAGAAACGATAAGTAGCGAGATACGTGAAATATCTCAGCGATGCGGTGTCATTTCGAACAGAATGTACATTACGCATGTCGACAGATCAATGCCGGCATAATAAATATTTGTGAAACGTCTCAAACAAGTTGTAAGGGCAAAATTGAGCGCGTCAGAGAGTGTGTGGAGCGGCGGGCCGGAGAACCAGAGTGCGCGTTAGGCCAGTCCGCCGTATGTTTGCCTCCGGCGGGAAAGGCGTGCCCGCCGGGTGAAAGGCAGCGGCTGGCCGGCACCTGGGACCAGTGGCGGCGCCACGAATTTTCACTAGTGGGGGCAAGCTTGAGGTGACCCGACTGCTGCCTGATAGGTACGCCAACCTGCAGAATCCAGGAGCACCGACCTTGCCCTTGGATGTGGTCATTCAAAATTATTATAGTTTCATGTACACGTATCGAACTGGAACATTAATGTCGCCAACAAATAGCATTATAAATCTAAATGGCGAAACACAAGAAAAAAGTTTTGTTGCTCAATTTCATTGGGAAGTAAAATGGCGCATTCCTCAAAACAATAAGTCGTTTTTATTTCCCGTAGCACGTACAATGCGCGATTCACACACGATTGATCGCTGGGGGTACTGGAATTACACACCCTACTGGGGTTGAACAGTGAACACCCCCTTCTAACTCGGCTCCTGGGCCACGTAGCGATACGGGGAAAACGGCGTTCGAAAGAGCATACAAAAATAATGACGAAATCACTTAAGTCACTTTTTTCGTCAAGTATAGTCACTAGACGTCATTAAAGGCCAAATTTTCAGGTCAAATATCGACCATTTTTAAGAAGCCGACGGATAACTCGAGAACCAATAGACCTACAGCGCTGCGGAAAAGCGCATTTGATAGCTCTATTAGCGTTCTTTCTGAATCATCCACTCAGATTTGACCTAACTTCAATGGTTTTCCCTGCAGCGGGCAAAAACTGCCAAAATAGACGATTTTTTTCTCGAAAACGGTTTTTCTGCAATAACTTTTGATTCAAGCCTTGCACGAGCTTTCTGTTACCGGCATCGCGTTCCTCTCGTCAAAACGCATCGAAGGAACTAAAATTTGACCTTGAAAGGTCTACTTGATAATTTGACCTCAGTACTTCAAGGTCATGACCTAACCGGAAAGGGTAATGTTGCATATCAGCCAATCCGTATCGTCGAGCTGAACGCATCTAAGGCGTTTTCATCGTTCTAGAATGCCTCTATTAAAAGTTATTCGCGAAAAAATATGAGATGCCACTCGTGACCTGAGATGACCTCAGGGGCATACAGAGGGGTCACGGGTCCCATTTTTATGCTCAGTGTGTCACCGTTGAGTGTTAAGAATGACTCGTCCAAAAGAGGCGGTTTTAAATTTGCTCAGACCAATGGGTAGGTCGGAAAATTGATCTGACCATACGAGTAGATTACCGATATGAAAATTCCGAGATAAATATTTTGTGCACACTGTTCCTCTTAGCAATCGCTGAAGGTTTCAAAGCGATCGGTCACTCGGTGTAGCTATAGCATACATTGAAATATTTTATGAGGTGAGCCGTGAGGTCACTTGAAGTGACCGGCTTGTGGCCTGACCTTGAATGACCTTGGTCTGACATTTTCACATGTGTAGAATTGATGTACGATTAGTTGTGCCAAAAACGTCGGCGCTTCTCGCCGCCAACCGGAGGGGGTGTTCAAACACCCTCCAGCAGGGCGCGGGCACAATAAGCTCCATCAGCGCTCCATCATCACATCCTATCCTATCATGAATATTGCACAGGTCTTCTGTTCCCATTTCAACATCAGCCAAATTTTGTGGGGGCAAAAACATAGTCTTGCCCCCACGGCCTCCTGTCAGTGGGGGCAGTCTGCCCCCACTGCCCCCACGGTGGCGCCGCCCTTGCCTGGGACCCGCGGGCCCGTCTCTCGAGGCATTTGCCAGTGCGGTGTCGTCGGGGCAACATCTTTCGGTAAGCGATCTTTTCCATCCCCCCTAAATTAACGCCGCAGCGCCCAGGCGCTGCGGAAGTCCCCGACATATGTCCTGGATTTTATTTGGCTTTCCGACCCGCCGCAAATAGCGGTGGGCACCCCCGTTATATCCAGGACAGTCTCATCTAAATTATATTCGTCGGCGCGGCGCGCGGTATGTATGTACGTGTGGGTGTGCGTAGGTGAGTGAAATGTGAGTAGCGCGTGATCGTAAGCAAGCACGTGAGCGTATGATTTATGAATGTCCCTCGGATCTAAAATATATCGTAAATGGAATGTGAACAAAATATTTCATTGGGGGAATGGCCGATGCCGGGCTGATCTACGGTGAACGTGTACGAACAATCATACGGGCCGCTTAGTTTAATACACCCGGGTGGCAGGCGGGCATTGTAGAGTAACTTTGGTTATCGTAATGTCTGTATATGGGGGGGAACCAATAAAAGGTTGCAGGTTCCGATGCGTGAGACCCCTACATAAAAATGGTGCACCGCGGCCGGGAAATCTTTCCCAACGGAGGTCCGGACGCCCGAAGTGTTCCTTCCGCCATAATCTGCGGTACGCGACAAGTGTAGAATTCCGCTCCCCGGGGTCAGTGCACATCGGTACCCGGGCGTATTTGCCGCTTCCGGGCACGCGGTCCACCGGCCCGTGTCATGCGCAACGGAAGGTCAGCGCTCCCCGGGATAAAACGCCGATCGGCCCTGTAACGCCGTGTGGGAGGTCCGGACGGAGCCCGGGTGGTGCAGAGGCGGATCCAAAGGACATGATGTGGGCGGTGATTTCCGCTCCCTTGGAGGTGGTTACCGGTCGAGCTGTTCTTACTTTTGGCTTCAATATCTTGTGTAAATCATTGCTTCCGTACTTTTCGTCACGTTCACACGCGTGAATCAGCCCAATTAAAGGGGGCATGGGGGGACAATTTGCCACCGCAATAATGAGAGATGAGAGATGAGGGCAGTCGGTTCGCGCGAGACCGTCGGAGATCGGGGATGAGATCGACGGCGTTCGGCGGTGCGGAAGAGTTCGCTCGGGCGGAATGGAATCCGCTTGTACGCGAGATGAGTGCTCGCGTCGTCGTCGGTCGCATGCGAGCGTGCAGGTTCGCTCGTTCGGCGGAATCATGAGTCCGGTGACGAGCCGTCACCGCTGGTGTGATGGCAACGTGGAGGTCGTCACCGGTGAGTACCGAGGGCCGCGAAATACCCCGGTATTTCAGTGTTACATGTGTGGGCGTATGATTGGATCGTTTAATGTACAGGTATGTTACGGTTGGTGTGATTGAGTTAGTGCGAACAAGGTCATGTGTGGTCACGAAAAGATGCGGAAAATGGAATTTTACTTATTTGTCATCAATTTGCTTTCATGATTAGTAATCAATTTGCTTTCATGATTAGTAATCAATTTGCTTTCATTCATACACCTGATTTAACTATGTAGCAAATTGCTTCATGTGTCGCCTGTCATTCACGCCTCATAATGAGACCATAGAGGCTTTAGACATTTCCTGCGATTGCTTGAACAATCGTTTAGACCACAGGGCATTATATCTATAGTCTTAAAGGGACCCTCCCACCTTCAAAAAAGTTAATGAATTGGCATGAAAGTGATGTCGCTCGGTTCAGAAAGAGCAAAAACGAATATCTACCAAATTCCATCGAAAAATATTCACCGGTTTTCAAGATATTAGACTTTTACTTTTGTTTACTTTTTGGGATCTCCGCTGTTCCTAGCGACTTTATTTGAAAGTGCGGCATTTGTTGCGCGCAAAGCAGCATATACCACCGCGTGCTACAAAACGTTTTAGTCAAACATTAAACGGACGTTCGAAAGCCTGATGACGTCATCAGATTCCCGTAATGGTTAAGAGATAGGGACCAAGCTGGTCCCACCCTGCAAGTAAAGGGAAGAAATTTCTTGAACACCATAAAGCTGCGGGGGTTGCGACCAGGATAAATGGTGGTTTCTGAGCCTGGCCGCAAACTTGGCTATCTCAACTCAAAACTAATGTTAAGGTGGGAGGGTCCCTTTAAGTGCAGTGCATCTTTGCTGTGCATATTAATTGCATCTTAAGATATTAACTGGAATGTCCATGGTTTTACGGGATATATAGGCATAATCGGTACAGTGGATCGGGGAAATTATGGTTGGGTGTTTTTAAGCGGAGTTTTTAAGCGGGGATGACGATCCCTCCCGTAAAGCCGTGCACTCAGTGCACCTTGTGGCGCTGACGAGTTGCCATTAGGACGGCATCGAGGTTGTGCGTGTTTAAAGCGGGCAAGCTTAGCTCGGCAGCAAAGCCCTGATTAATTATTACCCCACGTTACACCAACATGAGCCGCACATTCTGGCAGCTGCACCTTTTATATCCGGAACCCGATGTCAAGGTCTGGCGCAAGGCGGTGCACGCCGAGCACATTCTCCTCCTTTTTTAATCCAGGGAATGGATTAACGCTTACGGTTCATTGCAATTTCTTCTGATGCAAACGTAAAATGTCTTGTCAAATCTTCAATGTTATGTTCAAAGTAGTTCATTCGTTCGTTCATTCCATGCATTTTTACGTTGTAATTTTGCTCAAAATGTGGTAGCGATAACTCAACTAAGTTCAGTCACGAACCAGAAACAAGTTCTAAACAGCTTTGATTCCAGGTTTAATGGCAACATTATTAACCAGAAATTCTTCAAATGGAGCGCTGAGTGCTCAGTCAAATGTGCCCTTATTTAAATTCCATGCTGCATAGTGCATAAGTTCGTATCTTCGTTATATAGAATCACAGTTTATGATTAAATGCATTGAGTAATATCGGATGAACCCAGTGCCCCTCAACCATTTCATGGTAACTCAGTAGGACGGTATCTCTTGGACCATTTTCGGCTTCGAATTGACAGATAATCCGGAATTAATCTTGTAGGATTTTATCCTCTGTTAAGTGTTGCCAGGCACTAATCGTCACCTTGCCGTCAAATGGAGCCTAAATCATTTCGTTACGGAGCGAGCGAAGCGAGCGGAGTCTTACGTAGAATAACGGAAATTTCTGAGTATGAGCGGCCGGCCGGCCGGCCGGCCGGCCGTGCGGACGCTTTTGCGAGGCTTATATCTCAGCAACCACTTGACCGATTTACAT